TCTATACACATATACAGCATGTGATGGAGGCATGATAGACGGACGAACGTATGCCCTTTTTCAATTAATTTCCAGTAAAATAATTATTACAACTTCAAGATAACTTTTTTTATTGCATAAATTAATTTCACAAGCTTTTATTCTGAAATATAGCGGTATCAGTATTCTTTCTATAACGGTACAAGCCACCGGGAACCAGACGTCGAACAGAAAGTTTCAACAGCCCACGTGTGTTTTGTTGCGACATCATAAATGAAGCTGCTCACGTGACCTAGGAGTACACTCCCGAAAAGAAGGTTATTTATTGTTTTGAGCGAAGCGATTTCGAATAAAACGTGTTTCAAAATTGTTCGAGTGAAAGTAACTATGAAAATAACCCAAACCATTGCTTGATTGTCGTAGAAAATGTAGTAGGATTCACAGTACAGTTAGTGAGTGTAATTACAAATACTAGCCCTTCAACAAAGGCTAGGCTAATTAATTGGGCTAGGAGCATGGGCCCAAGCTAGACAGACGGCGCCTGATTTTCGCTGCGGTTCGCGATTGAACTTTTTAGGAGTAGGTTAACGACTGATGTATAGGTCGCGCCCCAAACCTCGAGGGGAAAATCGCGTATTAAATTTGCGGCTTATTCACCGGAAAATACGGTTTATGGAGCGAAAACTTGTGTTTCTTCACGATTTTAAGGGGGGGGGGGGGGGGGAAGAATTTGTATGAGGCTGATGGGCTCTTTCATAAATTTCTGGATCCGCCTCTGATTTTTTTTAACTCAAAATGAAAATACTGTACTACCTTACACAATCATTATTCAAAAAGATACACTCAAGTTATTGCAATTCACAAATGTACATTGATTTTTTTACAGAAAGGAACGTACGCACCCACAGGGTTCTGGTTTCTTCTAGGACATATCTTGGAGATTTGATGCATGGGAATGCATAGAGCAGACAAGTTCACAGACATTTGCTACTTTAAACAAAACAAAAAAAAAGCAGGAATCCATAACATTCAGCTTACAGAAAGTGCATTTTAGTGATACTGCAGTATTTTGTATTGCATAACCAAGACTACTATAAATAATATTGAAAATTTTATTATTGTACGATGATGGTACCTTTGTTATTGTTTGTTTCAGAGAAATCAGATTTATATTCAATTCAATTCAATTCAATTTAACATTTATTTACTTCCTTTTTAAATCAGACAAATATATTACAATTGATTTAAAATAAATTGAGATGCATTGCTAATAATTGCCAGTAATAATGTTCAAGACTACTGTTTATTAAGACAAAAAAAATTATCTTGTGTATGTAATCATTTATTTATTTAAGATTTCTTTATTCAGGATGGAAAGATTTCAGTGACTACCACTGCTTCCCAAGGAATGAATGTAGGAAAATGCAATTGCATGTTTTATGAATTAGAATACAGTATGTATTGCGTTGGTCTACACTAATTCATAAACGTAACGGTCGTTGAGCTCAGCTTTTGCTAGACTAGCTAGTGAGTGAGAGGATGGCCTTGGTCAGCTATACATAGGTAGTAAGCCTATGCCTTACTCATCAGGAACATGTGTTTATGCTATCAGATGATCATTTTCAGGAAAAAAAATCCAATGCAGAAACAATAACAATTACCGTAACTGAAAGTATATGAAATGTAGGCCTAGGCACACTACCCATGTGCCGCGCCGCGGATACACGTACCAGGAAGTCAACGCAAAAACGTAAACAAGATGACATAATTTGACATTGATCATGGATGACCGGACTTTCTACCAATCAGAGACTTGAATTTCATATGATAATTAGCCAAACCGTTTAACACACTGTGTAAGAAAAGACAAAATATAGTTCGTTTTCTGTCTTTAAAAAAACTCATTTCCCGATGTCAGATTTTGGCCGATTTTTATTATGTTGTTTTATAGATATTTAACTACCATATCAGCTAAAAACAATCCTTCTGTTGCAATTTTGTCCACTCAAAATCGTAGATGGCCCTGACTATTCGCGTTTTTCGTTGAGAAGCGATTTTTGGATGCAGTGTATATCATTCATAATATTCTGGTTTTAATTAATTATTTTGTTAGGGGAAACATGGTGAGACATAAATGGACATACAATGGGGAACGAAATTTGGTAAAAAATCGTAGGTATTGGTTGATTTCCCGTTGATTTATAATCAGGCGGTACTGGAGAGGGACAACAATTGCTCCACAGTTAGGAAGACATCCATTCGTAGAAACCTTATGAAGAAAGCCTACGTACCTAATGTGGTCTACATTGGCACCGCTAACTTCGGCTTTGAATAAATTATAGGAAGATTGAATTGTGTTAAAATAGAGTATAAATGCACACGATGTGATGTTACGACAGTTCCATGCTAGGTTCCAGGCCCTAGTCTAGCCTAGAAGAACGTAGCTTTGTTACGACGTAGACCTAGGACGGTACGAACGAGAGATACGAAACTTAGCCGTTATAATCTAGTACCTGTAAAACCATTATCAGCAGCACATTTGCAGTATGTAAATGATCGTCAGCAGAATCAAATAGTTGCAGTACCAAGGGTAACATTAAAATAAAATTCCTAGGCAACATGGTAACATACATATATTAGAATAGTATTTGTACTGCTGGCCTCGCGCTTCAAAAGCATGTGCAGACCCTTGTCACGCACCGGTAAACATCTTTTGCATACCTAGAGTTACACTTCATTTTGGCTATGTTCTCACGGCTGCTAACGGTTAGCAGGATCCGAATCCTGCTAACCGTTACCTGCCGCGCGTCCATACGAGAAAATCCCAATCCGGATACCAAAAATATGGTGATCGAATCACTAACCAATAAGAAACTGGAAATTGTAAACGCGTACGTGTGATTGGTTGATGATAAAAACGGGCTCAACTTGCTAACCGATAGCGACATTGCGACATTTGGTAATTTTACAATTAACCGACGTTAACTCTCATTTATATTTATTATTTATCTTACTAAATCAAGACTACAAAATATTGTTTGATGATCAACCTTTTCACACGTGTGTATTGTTATTGAGGAGTGTATTGAGAGGTTATTGTTATTGAGAGGTGTATTATCATTTTTTGACAGTTAAAAGAGGTAAACTAATTGTAAATTTTAAAATAGGCTAGACCCTAGGCTAATTAATTAAGAAAATATTAAATACAGGAGTACAAACAAGTTCCAGTCGTTGACAGCGTGTGGAAGGGGACACTCAAATCAGGTGTACATTTTTCTTATTGAAAAAAACAGCTCCATACTTTAAATTAACGGTCTAAACCTGTGCTTGTCATCCACAAATGACCCAGCAATACATTGTTTATTTCAGTAAGCTACAGCAGCCTTTCTGCACATACAAATAAACAACACACTTTTGCTCTGTAGGTTCGCTTTGTAGCCTTGCTTAGATTGTTTATATCAGCCTACGATGCAGCTACGAAGCCTGCTGCACGCAGAAAAAATTGCGAGAAGTGTTTTTACCATGTTAGGTAATTCGGGCCAGGCTCTAATTATTTTTAATCTTATCAAGCAACTGGGGGCGATAATCAAAAGCAAATACCCGGAAGAAGGTGACTGAACCACCACCCGACCACCACTGAGGAACTTCACGTCGCGAGGTAAAAACAAAATGTCGGAAAACTTTTTCTGACGCATGCGGAATTTCTCTCTAAATGTCTAAACACACACACACACAAAATCTGATCACAAAAGTTCCTATTGCACTGCATGCATAGAAACTAAAATCCAATGATAATGATAATTACTAACCTTGATTGTAGACATTGGTGTATTAGTATTCCCTGAGGGAATAACGGTAGCCTTGTTATTTGCAGTTGGATCAGGGGTGATTGAATAATCAAGTGATGGTGTATTAGTGCCCATGTCAGTATCCACATTCATGCTAGCTGGATATTTTAAAGTAGTTGTGTTATCTGTAACATATAATGGTAATGGAAATCATAAGGATGATAATAATAATAATTAATAATAATAATGGTAATGGAATTGCTTTGGTAATAATAAACAGAGGGCACTCGGAGGGTGCACCTCCACTCCCACATCATGAATCTCCTCAGCCAGTATAAATTTCCCCCGCATATTGTCCCCGTAAAAAAAAGTAATGGAAAATAAAGAAGAAGTAGACTCCTTGGGATTTGAACCCGGGGCTAGTAGTGAGGAAAACACTCTTCTAACCATTACACCAAACTGTTTTCACAGATATAACTTTGAAATTAAATGGTCTATAAGCACACGTCACCCACGTTTATACGGCAAAAGTTTTTTGTGCCTTTGACCCTGACCCTTCAAAATTTAGTCACTTCCAGATATTTGGAAAAAAAATATTTTTTTTATTGATTGTGACCTTGACCTTTTACATACCCTTCAACATTCAGATAATTTGAGATCTTTGGTGATGGGAACATTGTGACCAAGTTTGACAAGTTTGTGATTAAAAGTATGAGCTGCCAAATAAATAAAAAAAAATAGTTTTTCGTTTATTGTGACCTTTGACGCTGATCCTTCAAAATTTAATCAGCTCTAGATCTTAGGTAAAGAAACATTGTGGCCAAGTTTGACCAATTCCTGATAAAAACTATGGGCTGTAGGCTGTTCACAACAAATATGCCGACAGACAAATAAATAAATAAACAGGGGAAAAAACATAACTTCCTGCCAACTTTATTGAAGGAGTTAATGAGATCTTTGGTCATGGAACATTGTGACAAAGTTTGTGATCAAAACAATGGGATGTAGACAAATAAATTTTTTTAAATAGTTTTTCGTTGATTGTGATCTTTGACCCTTCAATATTTAATTAGCTCTAGATCTTAGGTAAAGAAACATTGTGGCCAAGTTCGATGAATTTCTGATAAAAACTATGTGCTGTACTCTGGTCACAACAAATATGCCGACAGACAAATAAATAACTAAACAAAAAACCAGGCAAAAAACATAACCTCCTGCTAAATTCGTTGGTAATAATAATTTAAGATTAAACGATATGGCAGATAATAGCCCTAAATGGCTGATGTAGCAATTGAAAATTAAATTGAATTTAATTGAATAAATAATAATAATAATAATAATAATAATAATAATAATAATAATAACTAAACTTACTATGCCTGTTTGAACAACAGAACATAGGGCTTTTCCCTCTTGCTTTAACGAGAAATGAAGTTGGAATTTCAACAAAAAGAAAAGTCCTTAAAAGGTATAAAGTAAAAAAAAACATGGAAAACCAATATACCGGTAATTTTAATGAAGTGTGAAGCCAATAAAAATAAAAAAAGAAGGGGAAAAAAGAAAACGAAGTTCACTGCGATGTTATTAGTGACTTCAACTATGCTTGCAATGGTAAGAGCGAGGTACATCGTGACCCATAACCATTGCACGCTATATGGGCCGACCTTGCATAGGAACGTGCATAGTTCACAATGATTCATTGAATGAAAGCAAAATTGTTCATGCATATCACGGTAGTTTTGAGATTAACCTAGCTCTAACTGGTTTAAGCGCTTTAGAAAATGCAAATTGCATTTAAATAATTAAATCAACTGTCATCAAAAAATCTTTAAATGGTCCTCATATCCACAACCTACTGCGGATCGTCACCAAAATTGATTCATTTCTTCATTTCACCATGAAAAACTATTTTGCAAAGTGTCAATTTTATCCATCTATAACAGGGACGTAAGGAATTTAAATGACCCTCAAATTTACACCCTAACCTGGATCGTCACCTACACATGTTAATATCTTCCTTGTACCTTAAACTTTTATTCGGATCAGTTGACCCGTTTTTGAAATATCTGATCTGGGACGTTTTCTTTTAAATGGTCCTCATATTCACACCCTATGCCAGATCATCACAAAAATTCTGTCATTTCTTTACTAGACCTTTACAAACTATTATAGAAAGTTACATTTACCCATTGAAAACATTTTATAGATATCTAAGTCTGGGATTTCAAAAATTTAAATGAACCTCCAATGTACACCCTTGACTGATTTGTCGCCAACACATAATATCTTTCTTGTAACATGGTTAAACTTAAACCTTCATTCAGATCAGTTGATCCGTTTTCAAAATATGTGGTCTGGAACGTTATCCTTTCAATGGTCCACAGATCTACACCCTACTCTGGATCGTCACAAAAATTTTATCATTTCTTTACTTGACCTTGACAAAATGTTATACAATGTTTAAATTATGGCCATTGATTTTTTTAAGGAGATGTTTAGGTCTGGATACTCAAAAAATAAATTGAAATGACCCTCCCACTTGCACCCTTGACTGATTCGTCGCCAGCACATAATAATTTCTTCCTTGTAACTTGCTTAAACTTATTTTGTAACTTTTTTTAAATGTTTCATACCGATTAGTTGATCCGTGTTAGAAATATGTGGTCTGGGACATTTTCCTTTAACTGGTCCTCTGATTCACACTATACTGCGGATCATTTTTTTACAAGACCTTTAAGAAGTATTATAGAATGTTTCATTTAGACCCGGTTTTTTTTAAAGAGATATTTAGATCTGGGTCCTCAAAAATTTAAAAGACCCTCAAATTTACACCCTTCACTGGATCGTCACCTACACAAAAATTTCTTCCTTGTAGCTTCATGGTGGAACAGGTCCAAATAACCGTCGGGAAGAGTGCTGCACCATGTATGTGTAGAACGAAACTAAATAGTAATAAATGTCTAATCAAAGCTACTGTTAAGCGTCATAACCACTAGACCACGAAGGCTTAATGGTTGAACAGGTCCAAATAACCGTCGGGAACATTGTATTACACAATGCTACGCCTCAGGAGGGCGTTCAGCCAGATAAATCTGGCAATACGGCTAGAAATACTGTCGTGTATTATATATGATATTGAAGGGAGTTAGCCGTTAACACTGTTGAATATATATAATATAAATCATCAAAGGTACATATACAGTGTTTAAATAAGGACACGATGGAACATCGTAGGTTACCCTGTAGCTTTTCAACGAATAAAGTCCTATAAAATTGCACAATGACTTTGTTAACTAATTAGTTATTAAAATTGATATTTAAATAATATCGTTATTACTACCATACTAGTATTATTACTATTAGTATTGTTAAAATAAATATTACTGTATCGGATACCGATACATATGTTTTTGGTCATAGCGCCCTCTGTAAGGTTGCTAGGCCGTAACATCCATTTTGAATTAATCAAAACTTTTGAATGATTGATGTTCTCATTGACATGTCTGATTTTTGATGCAGTGGCACCTGAACCGGTAAATATTCTTTATTCAATGTTTAAGTAATATACCAGGAACATATTGATGTACTTTTTGGTTAGCGGAAATATTGTGGTATCAATATGCCTTGTTTAATTTAGATAAAAGGGTATTGTATTGCTTTTGCTCTGTATGGAGTTCTCATGGAGTCGGGTGTACGCATTACTGTACGCATTACTGTATGTGTAGGCGTAGCCTAGGCCTAGTTAATTGTTAAATCATTTCATGCAAACATATTCAGGAAATAAGATGATTTTACTATATTTCTCGTACTCATAATTGTATTGATAATCACCATGACAATTGCTATGTTGAACAATTTGATTATTATATATGATATTGCATTGTAAGCATTCTAGGCTTAAATTTAAAGTTATTGTGTTTGAAACTTCCTTCATTGATGATTCGCTGAAAGTCGTCGTACACTCGATGCGGGTCCG